GCTTTGCAAACACCAGGCACAGAACACCCTCTCAAGAAACCTCACCAATTACAAATGGACGCTTGCATTTTAGGTGGCTGAATGAGGGTCTCTGTCAATTTGTGGTCCAGCTCAGACCCCACAGCAACCGCCAGAACTTGAGTCACACACGAGCTCTCCAAACTTCATGAACAAAGCTACCCAGCCCGCTAAGAAGAGAAGGCCTCTTCAGTGGCTGTGTCCTGGGCCAGAGCACCCCCTCCCTGGGTAGTCTCTCCAGTTTGTCTCCAACACAAGTGACTCAGGACCCCACTGGCAAGAACAAAAGGAACCTGTCTGGTCTGCATCCCTACTGTCCAGAAAAACACATTTACATGCTCCCAGGGGCTGGGGCCCTCACCCCTTCCAGAGAAGAGACAGTCCTCCACTTTTTGTTTTGGTTCTGTTTTTAGGCCTCACTATGCAGTTCAGGCTGGCCTCCACCTCACAATCCTCCTGTTTCGGCCTCTCAAGTGCTGGGATACAGTTATGCAACATCAGAGATGAGTGTGGCCAGATGCTCTCAGGTCCCTCTGTGCTCAGGAGGCTTTGCAGGCAACCCTTCTGCACATGCGCAGTGGCTTCACCCCACCTATCTATCTGCCAGGAACTGTGGTGCCCAGCATCTCCCAGGGAATTGCCCAAATGACCTCATTCCAGCTATGGGGGAACCCAGGAGAGAACTCAGAGCTCTCAGCTGACCAGTCATGCTGGTCACAGGGAGTCCAAAGCCAGGCAGCCGTCTGGTGATCTGGAACTGCAGAGTAGCCGTATGACCCTAGCCAGGTCGCTTGCCCACTCTGGGACCCAGTTTCCCCCTCTGTGAACCTCACTGTCTGAGGACGCTGCCAGTGAGAACTAGGCAGTGACAAGCACGTCCCTAGCACCAGGTATCAGGTTCTTGGTCTGCCCAACGCCCCCTAAAAACAAACAAACAAACACAGGAGAGGCCCTCAGCTTCCTCAGTTGTCCCAACCTCCTGAGTTGATGCACAGCAGGCACTGGCCGGACTCCTTCAGTCTGTCCGCCCCACTGCGCTCCACTGGGAACGGGCCTGCTTACACTCACTACACTTCTCTGCCTCCTCCCGGCTCCCTCAGAGCCTGGTGTGAGCTCATCAGCTGCGAGGATCCAGCCCACCCTCCTCTGAGCACCTGCGGTCTGCTCCACACACCCGCATGCTGTGCTCAGATGTATCACCCACCTCCCCCCCCCCCCCCCACCCCCGCCACCTGCACCTGCTGTTTCCTGGGTGCAGCATACACACGAGAGTTTTTGATCCACGTCTTTGAAAAGAGGCACAGACTTGCCTTTAGAACGAGAAAGCACGGAGCACAGAGAAGGTGACTGACTGGCCCTGGGCTGCAGAACTGAAACTCTGTCAGCTTTGTCCCCGGGGTAGCCAGACACTCTCAGGATGGGAGGGCTGTGGTCCAAGCCCACCTGTCTTTCCAGAGGAGGTCTTCCTAGCCAGGCCCTCCCCTAAATCCCACCAGGGTCTCTGCTTGCCTCCCTGACCGGGGGTACTGACTTCAACTCCCCTCCCAAACCTAAAGCCTGTCTTGGAAGCTCGCTCTCTCCCTACGCCACCACCTGCCATCTCGGCCCTGAAATTGGTGTAGAAAATACCTTCCTGAGCCGTGTGCCACCCACCGCACGCCTGCTTTAAAGCCGCCTGGGGATTTTTTTTTTTCCCCTGTCATTACTATAAAAAGACACTCTGAAAAAGCAGACCTGGCATCTGCTTGCTGTCCTGCAACTTTAGTACACACGCGTCATGGTCACGTAGAGGCGAAAGGTTCAGAGAAAGGAGTCACAGCCAGCCAGCCCCACCTTGCTATCTCTGCCTCAGTTTCACCGCCGATAGCACACAACTGCCCAACATGCTTTCCCTTCAAACACACTGTGGTGTGAGGAAGGGAACCCTACCTACCTACCTACCTACCTGCCTTCTTCCTTCCACCTGGGGCTGGGCAGGGCAGGCTTTGAGGGGCCCAGCCGGCCACACCCGAGGCACAGTCCTAGCCGTTGTCCTGTGGCCGCAGCGCAGAGTACAGGCCCAGCACAGGGCAGGTGTCCAAGAATGTCTCACCCAGAGCATCTTGACTGCTGTTCCTTCTGGGTCCCTCCCTGCTGGCCATCGTGGGCTTTCTAGATCACACAACTGCCCACTCCCGTGTATGGTGATGGGCAGTGTGTGTATCTCATCAAATCCCCACAGCATCCCTAGGTGTGTTTAAGATGATCCCATTTGGGACGAGGATATAGTTCAATTGGTACAGCACCTGCCTGGCATGCACCGAGACCCTAGGTTTACTACTCAAGGCCACATAAGCTGAGTGGGGTGGCACATGCCTGTAATCCCATCACTCAGTAAGCCTAAACCTGGCCTGGGCTACATGAGACCCAGTCCATCCTTAGGTCCCTGTATTGTCCAGGAGGCCAGAAACCAGGGAAGTAACATGGGGGGCCCCAGAAAGCAGGTCTCATAACACTGGGGGTGTGATAAATGTTCAGGGGACCCACCTGGGGCTGCAGGTAAAGGTGGTGGGGTCTTACAGCTCCAGAGCAGGCCTGATGAGGACACTATTTTCCAGGACAGCCCAGAGCCCAGCTAAGCGCTAACTGCATCCCCAGGGGTGAGAACAGCACAACCCACCAATGACTGCTGTGCACTAGGCACCATGCACTTGACTTTGTGGTTAACTTG